CCAAGAATAACAAAAGTCAGTTTTTGACCAAACAGATTTTTTTAAAATTGAAAACAATGAATTCTTGTAGACATCTCTATATATGTACATGATATGGCTTTTGTTTTTGCTTTACTTTGGGCATGCATGCGTGTGTGTGTGTTTGTGTGTGCATGTTTGGTGTGTGGTATATATGTGTGTGTGGTATGTATGTGTGTATTTGGTGTGTGATGTATATGTGTGTATGTTTGTGTGTGTTTGGTGTGTGGTATATGTGTGTGTGTGTAAGGTGGTGTAGGAGTGTGTGTGTGTGTGTGTGTGTGTGTGGCACCATGGGGGAGTGTGGAGTGTATGTGTGTGTGTGTGTGTTTGGTGAGTGGTATATGTGTGTGTAAGGTGGTGTAGGGGTGTGTGTGTGTGCATGTGTGTATGTCTGGAGGGTGGAGGTGTGTGTTGTGGATCCTCTCTTGTCCCTCTTGAGTCAACTCACTGGTCCCACCTCAAGCTTAGAGCACTGGCATTGGAAGTGTGAGTGATCATGCCTGGTGGAGTCTTTTCATGTTAACATTCCAATGTTAATATAACATTGCAAAACTGTGAGCAATAAAACCACATCAAAGACATTTTTCCAGTGGCCGTCACAATGCCATAACAAAATTTTGTAACCAAGCAAGGAAAATGTCTTTTTAAGAGAGAGTATTTTAATTTCACCAAATAGAAATGAGTTATTAGCAACAACACTAGAACAGAGGAATTCACACTTCAAAGTTTTGGAGGAAAAAAGCCCGTTAGGTTGAAATGTGAGGTTTTATGAGAGATGTCATTTTTCCAACACCAAAGCGTGTGCTACTCTGGTACTTTTTCTCATTGTTTACCTGAGTGTAGCTCTCCCAACAGTGTCCTTAGGGTACATTCAGTTATCAGTAAGGTGCTAGCCATGGCTGCTGCCACCTCTGATTGACAGTTGGTGCTGAGTGCTACAGTTTCTTTCTGCCCTATTCTGAGCTGTTTGCCCCAGAACAGTATGCACTGATGAGGGCCTAGGTTGTGAGATTTTAGTTTTTGCATGAGGGAAGGAAAAGCTGTGTACAATTCACTGCTGATTTCCAGTTTCTTCCACACTGTAAATCATAGTTCTCTGCATATATAGTAAAGATGACAGGTCTCTGCTGAAAACTGAAAAGTGGAGATGTGTGTCAGCTTGTGATTGTGAATGCAGAAATAGCACCAAAAGACAACGGAATGCAGGCACGACTCTATGATGGAATCTCCTACTCTGGAGATGCACACCAGAGTGCCCCCGTTCTTCTGTAGTTACTCCACCTTGACTTTGTGGTCTCTGTTGTGTTGTGGAGATATATATATATATATACACATACATATATATATATATATATATATGTATATATATATATATATATATATCAAATGATCAGATGATCAAATGTAAATGTTTTGTTTTGTGTTTTAGCAGAGTGAACATAGATTTTTAATTTTTTTTTAAAAAGAAAAGTGAGAGGCCAAGCATGATGGCATATCCCTTTAATCCCAGCACTCAGGAGGCAGAGGCAGGCAGATCTCTGAGTACAAAGCAGGTGGATCTCTCAGTTCTAATCTTGCCTGGTCTACAACTTGAGTTTCCAAACAGCCAAGGCTATACAGAGAAACCCTATCTCAAAGACCAAAACAACAACAAAAACAAAACAAAGCAACAACAACAAAAAAACACAAAACAAAAACAATACTACTAAAATAAGAAAAAAAAAAAAGATAGCCGGGAGGTGGTGTCACATGCTTTTAATTCCAGCACTTGGGAGGCAGAGGCAGGTGGATTTCTGAGTTTGAGGCCAGCCTGGTCTACAGAGTGAGTTCCAGGACAGCCAGGGCTACACAGAGAAACCCTGTCTCAAAAAAACAAAACAAAACAAAAGCAAAAAGAAAGAAAAAGAAGAAAAGTGGGGAAGAACTCTGAAGAGTGTCTTAGTTGCCTTTCAATTGCTGTGATTTTAGAAGAAAGAGTTTATTGGGGTCTTACAGTTTCAGAGGCAAATAGACATGGGACTGAAGCAGCAGCTGAGCGCTTACATCTTAATCCACAAGCATGAAGCAGAGAGACCCAACCAGGAATGATGTGAGATTCTGAAACCTCAAATCCCACCCCCATTGACACACCTCCTCCAACAAGGCCACACCTCATAATCCTTCCCAAACAGTTCCACCAACTGAGAACAAAGCACTCAAACGTGAGCCTATAGTGGCAGTGCTCATTCAACCCACTATACCCCTCGTGGAATGGTTTTTATAATCACTAGATTTGAAAGAGGCCTCTTGCACTCACAACCCACTAACCACAACCCAATCTCTTGGCTACACCTGGCTGGAAGCATGGAGAATTGAGAACAATACACAGACTTTGCTAATTCTGGGCCAGATGCAGGATGCAGGAGGTTCATATGGATAATGAACATCAAGAGACATCCAGCTTCTTTGGTATTGAAGGAAATGAAACTGACGCCATGTGTGGTAGTGATCTTAACGAATTAAGTTATCTAATACACTGCTGTCAGCACATGTTGGAAAGGACTAGTGGGAAGTTACACACCACCAGGCCAGACTAAATACACATAACCATTTTGTAAAATATCATCTCTCATAAAATCAAATAGTTGTATGTTAAACTCTCTCTGTTAGGTTTGCAGCAGTTCCTACCAAGCATATGCCTCAAAGTAACCACTACAGACTAGGAGATATGTACAAGAACATAAAAATGCATACAAAGATGGAGCATAAAATGAGAAAGAGAGAAAAAGAAAAGACACAACCCCATACTATAGACCAAATGGAGTGACATGGAGTGGAGACCTTCAAAATGGAACCAGAGAGCTACGGCAACAACTCAATCTAATAGACATGAATTCATTAGAGACAGGCTGGGCTTCTCAACCTGTGCCACAGAAGAGTCTCAAATACCCGTGTGTCAAATGGAACCTCACATCTTATATGAAAACCATCACAAACACAATAGAAAACTTAAAAATCTTTAGTCTCATCAGCTGGGCCAAGAAGTTTTAGACTTGTTATTAAAAGGATGGAAAAATTAACGAATTTGGCCTTGCTGAGAGTAAAGCTTTTTTTTTTTTTCCTGAAAAGACAAATATAAACTAAGGGAAATGACAAGTCACATTATGTATAAGGTTTGTAGTAAACCATGAGGAACTCTCAAACTCAGCTGTGGGAACGTATGACTTTAAAAACAAAGAACAAAAGCATTCGTGGGTATAGTCCAGTGCTAGTGCATGCAGGCCTACCACCCCTGCTTCCGTATCAGGGGTGGGGGGAATCAACACCAAGCAGAAGATTTGTATAGATACTTTGTCAAAGAAGAGTACAGCTGAGTGACGTGTGATCTCACAGAAGATGCCTGATACTATTTGCCATTAGAAAACAGATGCACGTTACGCTTTACTCTTTTGTATTCATTATTTAAATTAGCATACACTGTAGCGTTTGGTGGCATATTCAGACGTATGGGCCATTAAACTTTGTCCTAAGACATCCACTTCCCCAACTCCCCTCCTCCATGCTCTGCCCTTGGGCAGCTCCCTTCCTTCTGGAAGACAGTGCCTCCTATTGAGAATCAAGTGTTCATTCTGTACCTCTGCAGCGAGTGAAATTAAGAAGAGTTCAGTACATAGTGCTTTCAAGAACGTGACCCAGAAATAACTCTCTGAGTGTTAGGGATTCCAAAATTGCATGGTCACTTTTTTTGGAGTAGGACTTGAATCCCGGGCCTTAAGAATTCTGGCTTTTAGGCTCAAAAACATCTCTAGCACCGAGCAGTCATTCTGAAAACCAGTTTGATTCTGTCACAGGAAGCCAAAGGAATACTTACCTACCTGATCCCACCATGTCATTTCTAGGTGAAATAGGAAAAAAAAGGTTCACACAGAAACATTTTTCCGTAGATACAACACCTATACAGATGGGAAACATGGGCAGAGATGGCTCACCAGTTAAGAGTACTGGCGGCTTTTTCAGAGGACCTGAGTTCATTCCGGGGAGTGAGGGGTGGGGGATGAGGCTTACAGTCACCTGTAACTGCATCTCCAGAAGGGGACACACACACACACACACACACACACACACACACACACACGAAGGGAGGGGAGGGGAGGAAAGAGAAAGAAGGGAAACAGGAAGGGAAGACTAAGAAAGAATGAAGGTTTTTTAACGGGGCGGGGGGGGGAAGCTGTAAACTATTGTGGAGTCTAGGAGGAGGGAGAGGGAGGGGAACATTAAGGCGAAGAGAGGAAGGAGAGAGGAGTCCTTGCTAAGGGTGGGGGCAAGCTAATTGATTCCTTGTGCCTTGGTCTGAAGCGCCTTTTTGCTTTTTTCTGGCCGCGGTGTTTGGTACCTTTGAACTTTGAACAGTTTATACCTGTAAGAGACTGCCAGGGGTGCCAACCTGAAAAAATAATTACCACAGTTCAGTACAAAAGTCCCTCCCGCCCTCTGCGGTTCTCACATCCAGGAAAAGGTCTGCGGCTTCTGGGACCCGGGGCCCTGGGACCGGTTCAGAGCCAGGCGCTTCGGCGGGACCCGGGATGGCGTTCGGCGTCGCCTTCATGTCGCTCGGCTCTAGCGACGCGGCACGGGAGGAGGATAGCCCGGGCCTCGCCCTGCGCGGTCCCCGAGGCCCGGGCGCGCGGCGTGTGCGGGGCGAGCGGGCGGGCGCGGGAGGGACGCCGCAGCTCGGCTCCCGCAGGCGCCCATGGCCCCGCCGTGCCCGCCCCGCCTGCTGCTGGCGCTGCGCGCCCTGCTCTACTGGTCCGTGGTGTACGGCTACTGCGGGTTGTGCGCCTCCGTCCACCTGCTCAAACTTTTGTGGAGCATCGGTAGGGCGCCGGCGCAGACCTTCCGCTGGGCGGCCCGAGCCAACCCTCCCGCGTGCCTGAACGACCCCTCCTTGGGGACCCACTGCTACGTGCGCATCAAGGTGAAGGCCGGCACCGGCCTGGAGACGGGGGAGGGAGAGGGACGCGGGTGGGAGCTGTGGGAGCCGCGGCGCCTAGGACTCCGGGCCGATTATTCCGAGAAGCGTCCCGATAGCTGCGGGCACCCGGAGGACCCCAGGGGAGGAAGGAGAGACCGGGCCGGGGACTGTTCCGCGGGTCGGTATGGTGGCCCTCCTTAACCTGTGTGTTGGGGGTTGGGGGGCGTATTTAAGAATGTGGAATTTCTCTATCCGGGTCCTCCTCCTGCTGAAGCAACTCAGAATAATTCTGCTCCCTTTCCTACTGCAAGGAGAAGCTGTCTCCTGTCACCTTTTTTTGCCTTTTAGGGCTCAGATCAGCTGCAGAATAATGCTCCTGGCGATGCCCTGCTGTCCAGATTTTGAGATGGAGCCAGTGAACAGTTCTTTGGAAAGTCATTTCTAATCTCAGATGACCTAGGCAGCACTAAACGATAAGAAATGGTTTGTGTTTGTGAGGAAGGAAGCAGATACAAGAAGTCAGGAATAAAAGAGAATGGGATACAAAGTAGGTGCCCATTTCTTAATAAAGCTTCATTCGCCGCTCTTAAATAAAAGTGCCAACCGTGCCAACAGATTTTCATTGTCCATGCTCGTCCCAACTTCTGTCACAGCCCACAGACGTTCTATTTCCTGATGCCAGGTGGTGGAGCGATACAGTCTTTGTGATACGACCTGCAGTCTGACTCACAAGCCTTTCAAAGGCAGCATCGAGGAGATATTTGTGTTAATGAGTTCTGACGTTTCCGCAGCAGTTAAAAAACTCCCCAGCAACTGGGTTTCAGAAAGGCAAGAGGAGCCTGAAACTGAATTAAGTATGTTCGAAAAGAAGAAGGAAAATGAAAAGGAGAAGAAGGAGGAAGAGGAGGAGGAAGATGATGAGAAGAGGAGGAGGAGGAGGAGGAGGAGGAGGAGGAGGAGGAGGAGGAGGAGGAGGAGGAGGAGGAGGAGGAAACAACCACAAAGAAAACTAGGCAAACGGACTTAATAACTTATTATAATTCATTCTAATTGTGGACCTCCTGGCATATACCCAGTGCAATAAAATCTAATCCAGACTGGTGGTGGCCATAGCATTTCATTCTCTCAAGACTCACCACCACTAAAATAATTTTTTAAAGATAACAGCAAAGTCACATTTGTTAACTCTGTCCAACTTGATGAAACTAAGCTCATGACTCTTCCTGAGTTCCCCAGAATTTCTTTCTCTTCCCCCAGAAGCAGAAGGAAGAAATAGACACAGTGGTGGCTCTGGTCACCTGGATACGTCATCCCTCTTAACAGCATTTATCTAGTGATGCTAGGGAACACTTTGGTCATGCCAGGCGAGTGCTCCACCACTGAGCTACATCCTTAGCCGTCCCATGACTCCCATGACCTTCATGACTTATGTGACTTACTTGGGCCTCCTTTAGGGGAAGGGATTGCAGTGCCGGGGATGGAAGCTAGGTCTCATGCTTGAAAGACAAATTCTCTGCCGCTGCTCTGTAGCCCCAGCCCTCTAAAGTAAGGTGATGGCATTGAGGGAAATGACATGCCAGATGCTTGCACCTAAAGGCTGGAGATAAAGTCCATGCTTAGCTTTGATTTGTACTGTCTTTCATACTTCTGGGGATTTTGCCTTTCTTGTCTATGTTCCCATATCCTTGGTGTCTGGAGTATTCTTCTGTTGTTCCCAGTCCTTTCCTTTTTGGAGGGTAATCATCTCCCAAATGGGGCGTGAACTCTCTGGCACTGTATATTCCACTGTTAGAAACACAAATGTGACAGAGGGAACAGGTAGCAAAGGAGAGCATATATGAAACACTCAAGATCACAGTGTGGGAAGGAGATGCCTAAAAATAAGAGAAGGGAAGGGGGTGTGAATTACATAAGTGATATCGCAGCTCTTGACGGGACTGAGAAAAAAAAATGTGAGGTAGACTTAGCAACATTGAAATTCAGATCAGAATTATTTATGTATCCTGCAGGGAACAAAACGTGACACCTCACTAAGATGAAAGCTACATTGTAACATTGCTTCAGAAGCTCAAAATGTATACACAGACCTTGTAGCAGAACAAGTAAGAGGGGGTATTCTAAGGGAATACCCACAAAGGTGAATTGGTCCATTTATCCTATTGCTAATATATTGTTAACATTTATTTCTTGATGTTAAAGTAATTCAAGTGAGAATGTTTTTAGTGACAGGGAAATACTAAATGTCTTAGTTTGATGATGCCCACTATCACATGCTCTGTACTCTTCCACTTTCAGGACTCGGGGTTAAGATTTCACTATGTTGCTGCTGGAGAAAGAGGCAAACCACTCATGCTGCTGCTTCATGGATTTCCAGAATTCTGGTAAACTTACCAACTAACTTGTTTCTTCTGCATTAACACTTAACATTCTGGCTTAGTTCATTTGATGCTGCTGTAAAGAAATAGGGTATTTGTTGTTGTTGGTGGTGGTGGTGTTTTTGTTGTTGTTATTTGTTTAGTTTTGTTTTGCTTTGTTTGGCTTAGTTCTGGAGGCTGGGAGGTCCAAGATCAAGATCCGGTGTGGGCTGCCACGTTGAATGATCACATGATAGAGAGTGGAAAGGCAAGAAAGCAACAGAGGATAAGTTCAAGTTTAATCCCATGAGGTCAAATTGCTCATGACCTAACACTATTATAACCTCAGTTAAATGTCATAGTTTTACAGGAACAAACATTCTAAGTGTAGTACTTACCGTAGACTCCCTTTCTCAAAATGGCAGATCATTTTCCAGGGTTGTAACTCCTGAATGTTCCTGAAGTCACAGCAATAGTTTCTCTCCTAATCTAAAAGCATGAATACATATACAACCATCCTAATTTTTTAAGACTGACTTTTGCTGTGTAGCCTAGGCTGGCTGTCTTAGTTTGGGTTTTGTTGCTATGAAAAGACACCATGACCAAGGCAACTCTTATAAAGGACATTTAATTGGAGCTGGATTACAGTTTCAGAGGTTTAGTCCATTATCGTCATGGTGGGAAGCAAGGCACAGTCCAGGCAGACATGGCGCTGGAGGAGCCGTAGACCACAGAAAAAGATTGTGTGACTCCCTAGGCTTAGCCCCAAAGCCCACCTCCCTAGTGACACACTTCCTCCAGCAAAGCCTCACCTCCTAATAGTGCCACTCCCAGTGGCCAAACATTCAAACACAAGAGTCTATGGGGCCATACTATTCAAACCACCACACTGGCCTCAGACTTATACCCAAGTCCTTCACTCTCCCAAGTGCTAGGCTTACAGGTGTGCACTACCACCCTTAACTCTGCTTTTTCCTCTGAAGATTAAGAGTCTTCTAATGTTTCAATTTTCTGAAATGTCGAGTCATAAAACATTTCCTGCAAAGTAACTGCTGTGGATAAAAGACAGCCCTGGGTGCGGGAGAGAAACTGAACAAACCGTGGCCTTGGAGTATGTGGCAGGGAGCTTTAGTGTCACTTGTGGAGCAGAGAGAGGGAGCACATACCCATTAGTGCATATAAATGTAGGCTCTATTGTCAGTTACGCCAGCATAACTGACCTAGTTCCCCTTAACGGCGAAGGTCTGCGGATTGAAAAACAAGACATGGAGTCATCTGGTAGAGACCAAATGTTGTATTTCCAACTGTGCCACAAGCTTATGTACACAGAAGTAAACAGGAAAGGGGGGGGGGCAACTCAACAGCCAATCACATAGGTTTCGATTTCTCCAACAGCAGGCATTTAGAAGAAATGGCTCAGGGCGGGGAGTGCATCACACTGCACATGCCCCCAGGGCGGAAGTCACAAGGTTCTCACAACTCACTCTTTTTCTTTTATTTAAAAGAAAAGGCACCACCTGTCTTAGGATTGACCTTGCAGCCACTGGCTCTTACCCATCCTTGGGTTACTCTGTCATTCTCAGAGCCCCTGTCTTAGGTTGATACCAGGGCCAAGGAAGTTGCCCATCTCTGGTTAATGCGTTTGTAACATAGATAACCAGACCTCTGCAGCAGGAGTCTCCTGCCCATGCAGAAGCACTAGGCCCCTTGCCACTGCCTGAGAATGAACCTGTTGTCTCCTGAGGCAACATAGCCCCCATACAACAGCAAAGACAGCAATAAAGGTGATGGCCAAGAATGACATCATACCAGCCTATTCCTTAAACATAAAGCCAATCTTACAAAACCAAGATCCAATACAGAAGCTGTCGAGTCAAATTATTATAACCAGTCAATAATGGCCATACTCCAAACTAGGATGGATTGCGATACCAATAAGGAAGTGACTGATGGGTGCTAATTTTTGATGGAGGCCTATGTCCGAAGAACCAAACTGACTCCCTAATTGCCATCCTTCCCAAGGAGCACAATTTAGCCAAGATATAGGTGCCTTGATCTCAAAAATGTCTGAATCAACCCAACAGGGAGGAGCAGGTCTAATAAGTGTGACACTACCCACACTCCTATTCTTAAAAACACTATTAAAAACTGGATACAAAATACTCTGAAAAGCTACAGCACTACCATTAAAAAGGGTTCCAAAAGTAGCATTACTCATAATTAGGCAATTACTATGCCAGGAATCTGACTTATTACTAAACCTACTAATATTATACTCTTTTATAAAACATAAAACATTCTCAAGATAAAAGGAAGAATTAACCTTAAATTCCTCAAGCTCTACAGGAGAAGCAGGATGGCCAATTGTCCAATTAGAAGCAAACACACTAGGCCAAATAGGGGCATCAAGGCTCATGTTCATCAGGATGGGTGGATGATGTATGGCAGATGGATGTCACTCATGTGCTAGTTTTAATAAGTTGTCCTTTGTACATGTAACTGTAGATACCTTTAGTGGTTTGATTTTTGCATCAGCTCATAGTGGTGAGAAAGCTAAAAAAAATTTTTTGTTTTTTTGTTTTTTTCGGTTTTTCGAGACAGGGTTTCTCTGTGTAGCCCTATTAGTTGGAAGGATAATAATCCTGTCTGGATTGAACAGTGGCTCTTATCTAAAGAAAAGCTGGAGCTGCCAGTGCTTTGTACAAGACCAAATCGCTGCTCTGGCGGTGGTGTGCACTTCCTGGGGTGCCTCTGTAGAGGTCTGCAATTGAAAGGGATTGTTGCTTCTCGGTGCTGTCAATGCCCTGTACACATTGGTTCTCGGGCCCCGGGGCCGTTTCCCTGCAACTGTTGGCCCTGAATATTGTATTTGGGTCTACAGCTCACTGATATCCTTTATGGCGTTTAGGACATTTGCCAGGAGCCCATCCTTGGTTTACTTTAGGACAATCCTTTTTAAAGTGTCCAGCTTGTCCACATCCAAAATACCCTTTATCACAGCCACCACTGGGACCTTTTAAGCCCCGCTGCAGGGCAGCAGCCAGAAGGTATGCCTGAACTTAATTTCCATCAACCTCTTTACATATCTTTAGATAATCATTCAAGTTCTTAGCCTTATGTGGGCATAATGCCTCCTGACAATATTTATTGGAATTTTCAAAGGCCAGTTGCTTAATAACGGGCATGACTGTGTCCACATCTCCAAAAATTTTTCCTGCCAATGCCATAAGTCTTGCAAGAAAGTCTGAGTAAGTTTCAGAAGGACCTTGAACCACCTTAGTAAGTTGTTGCCCAGCACCTTCATTAGGCAGGTAATTTCAAGCTCTAATGGCAGCGGTAGCAATTTGGGCATAAGTTCCAGCCTGATATTGAATTTGATTGTGGAGTGCCTCATAGGGACCAGCACCAGTTAACATTTCCACATTCATTTGAGGCTGAACAGCCTGAGCATTGAGGTGAGCAGTTCTAGCACACTGCTCCTGCTACTCATTCCTCCAGAGCAGGTAATGCCCCCCATAATACGGCTGTACACAACTGTTGCCAATCACTAGGTGTTAAATTCATAGTAGAATAGGATTCTACCAAAGCCTTAGTAAAGGGGGCCAGGGGTCCAAAAGATGTGACCGCTTCCTTCAACTGTTTCATTTCTTTAAAAGTCAAAGGTTGATGTTGCCTTATCACTCGTCGTCCTCCCTCAGGTTAGGTATCTCGTAACTGGGTAAGCTACAGGATCCTTATTCCCTGGGCCTCTCTTTCCTACCTTTGCTGCCTTTTTTAACCCTTCAGATGTACCTCCCCTGAAAATAACCCCTTTGGGTTGCGAAAGAACACCTTCGAATGTCTGCTCCTTCCTCTCCTCCTCCTGAATCTCCACCCAGAAGGGGTTATAGGAGGGAGGAGATGCAGTGGGGAGCCAGTCTTGACCTCCTCTGTCACCTCCTCTGTCTCCTTCTTTCCTGGAGCCCGCCTTCCTTCATAACTTCTTGGATGCTGTAAGGGATGCACTAGCTCTGTCCAAGTCATCTTCAGACGTGGAGCTACCCTCATCAGAAGAAGTAGAGGAAGCAGAGCCACTGACTGATTCCTTAGCTATTTCTTCCTGTACCTTCCCAAAAGTTTTCTGTACTTCTTCTAACTGTTCCTTCACTAACTCATTTTCACTGAGTAGGGCATCCCTAACTAATTTCCTTTTTTTTTTTTTTTTTGCTTTTTTTTTGTGTAGCCCTGGCTGTCCTGGAACTCACTCTGTAGACCAGGCTGGCCTGAAACTCAGAAATCCACCTGCCTCTGCCTCCCAAGTGCTGGGATTAAAGGCGTGTGCCACCACCGCCTGGCCCCTAACTAATTTCCAACCCCCCCCAAACAGATTATGAAAGACTAAGGGTCCATGGCAGTTAGCAGCGGCACAAAAATCACTGTGGATCTTTTCCCAGTCTTCTATTTTAAAATTTCCACTAGTAACAAACCACAGACTAAACCTTTGTACTTCTCTGATAAAGTCTCTAACTACTTCCCTCTTGACAACAGTTCCTCGCTGTACAAGTAAAGCAGTGAGATGCTTTGCAAGCAGCTCTTTACTATGGCTAAGTCCCATAGTTACTTACCGGGTCACTTACTTACCTCAATACGTCCCTTGCATTTTCCTGTGCACTACCGGATGGTCCATCAGGTTCTCCCTTTCCAATCTCGGTGGGACCTCCACTTTGGCATAACTGACCTAGTTCCCCTTAACGGCGAGGGCCTGCGGATTGAAAAACAAGACATGGAGTCATCTGGTAGAGACCAAATGCTGTATTTCCAACTGTGCCACAAGCTTATGTACACAGAAGTAAACAGGAAAAGGGGGGAGGGCAACTCAACAGCCAATCACATAGGTTTTGATTTCTCCAACAGCAGGCATTTAGAAGAAATGGCTCAGGGTTGTGGGGGGGAGGGGATTGCATTGCGCATGCCCTGGGGGTGGATGAGTCACAAGATTCTCACACTCTATCAAAGGCATAAATGTTTTAAAAAGTAAAAAGGAAATC